GGATTATATCCATATAAGAATTCAACAGAGAAACCGCAGGAAAACCCTTACCATTGTCCAAGGGATCTCTGATGGTTACGATAAAAAGAAACTAGTGAAGGCATTTAAGAAGAAATTTGCCTGCAATGGTACCGTAATCAAGCACCCAGAATACAGAGAAGTGATTCAGCTACAGGGTGACCAGCGCAGGAACATATGTCAGTTCCTGCTAGAGACTGGGCTGGCTAAGGTCGACCAGCTGAAGGTTCATGGGTTTTAAGTGCTTTTGGCTCAGTGAAGCTTAAGTGAGGATTTCCTTGCAGTGAGTGGAATTCCCCTTCTGTCCCTTGTCACAAGTTTAAAAACCTCACAGCTTGTATCATGTAACCATTTGGGGTCTGCTTTTAACTTGGACTAGTGTAACTCCTTCATGCAATAAACTGAAAGCCAAAAAAATAAGCAATAATAAACCCATTACATGTTAACACTAATGATATATTTTAATTAAAATAAGTCTGTCTATTAAACTTTAGTGAGTAGCATTGTATATTTCACCGATGTCTTTGATGCCTCAAAGACAGCTGGATTCTCTTGCATACCTCTGTGTGTGATCTATTGACATATGTTGTTGTGGGTGAAGTACGTGAAGGGAAGGTAGCCCCACACAGAAACATAGTTGGAAAAGAGAAGAATGCTCTTAAAGCCTTTTCTAAAGGTTATTATGGGTATGCTCTTTTGATATTCCACCCAAACTCAACAAGTGGTAGTTTGAGAAGACCAGTTGCAGTCTGGAATCTTAAACCACATCAGTGAGCATTCTGTACTATGTAATACTCAGGGTCATTGTCTGCCTTGCACTTGGAATGCATCCTTCACCTAGTTAGGACTTTATGCATTGTGTGTGAGTTGGCTGGAAAATTTTGGCTTACTGAGTTGTGCAGGTCTTCCAAATATTGACACGTTTATTGACACATAGGATATCCAACAGCAAACAAACAAAATTGCATTTGTTGTACACACCACCTATTGGATAGGAAGTCTTTAAGTGTTGGAAAGCTGTCAAGCTCATGATGGCAAACACAAGTCTTCAGTACTCTAATTTTCACTTGAAAGTTCAGTTTTTATCAGTGGCCACAAATACTGTTAGTTGTTTTTCTTAAAGTGACAGGTTCACTTTGTTCATTTTCAAGAGAGTATCTGCCACATACCCACGCCTGAAAACCATTGTTTGTGTTCTGGCTATTCATTCAGGTAAAAATGTTGTCCCGTGAATGAGGTGGCACATACAGCTTGCACCTCAATAACCACACGAGTGCTTTTCCTTGAGACAGCCGGAATCCGGAATTCGGTAGATGGCAGATGGACTTTATGTGTACTTCCCATTTAATCATATAGTATATTAAAAAGGTGGGCACTCAAGAGGTAAAATTTAAGAAACCTAATCATGTGTACTGCTTCACTGAAAAACAATCGTCTAAGTGAGGC